CCGATGTACCGCTCTATGACGATCCCTCCGATTCAGACGACGGCGAAGGCGAATGGATCACCCCAGCCAACGTCGCGCTACATAAATCTCGAGCACTTGATCTTCTACCCAACGGAGGCCAGGGCAAACAAGGTAAAGGAAAGAAAAAAGAGGAATATGTGGATGTTGGATGCATGACGGCTGATTTCGCTATGCAAAACGTGTTGATGCAGATGGGGCTCAACCTGGTCGGTACGGAAGGGAAGAGGATTCAGAAAGTGAAGACTTGGGTCCTTAGATGCCATGCTTGCTTCAAGTGTGTAATTTGATGGTCAAAAGCCGTGGACAGTACTGATTTCATAAAACTCAGAATTTGTCAGGATGCGTCGAAACAGTTCTGCCCGGCATGCGGAAATCCAACACTTATCCGTGCATCAGTGACAATTTCATCACCAGATGCAACTTCCGATACACCTGCAATGCAAGTCCATCTCAAACCTAATTTCCAGTACAAGCTACGTGGGACAAAATATTCGATACCCGCACCAAAACCTGGTTCTGCGAAACACGGCTCAGGAGAAGGGCTCATTCTGAGAGAGGATCAGCTGGAGTATATGCGGGCCAAAAAGCGATTGGAAGGAAAGCAGGAGCGGGAAGAGGTGCGAATGATGAAGGGTCTATTGGAAAGAAGTGCTAAGGGCGAAGGCGGCGTAGCTGTCGGTAGTTGGATGGATCCGGATTGGATACCGGAAATCATATCTGCTAGCGCAGGTGGTAAAGGACGGACGAGCAGGTCCAATGGTGATCTGCCTGTGATTGGGCATGGCCGTAAAAATCCCAACGAGAGAAGGAGGAACAAAAAGTAGATACAATGCTTTGATCTTCGCGTTATCATACAGGATCTACTTTGATTCATGCACCCAAACTTCTGTTCATGAAACGTCTCTTCTGGAAGGACATCCACCATTTGCTAGGAATATCACCATCGGCGTAGAGGATGGTCACCAAGCGCAGTGATAGCTCCTGCCGCACCTGAGTGAGATACGAACGAAGGAATTCTGAGTGAAAAGCCGGTCTAAGCATATTGTAACATTCGACTTGATATAATACGCACCAGCATCCGCTCGACCTGCAGCAGGTGCATAATGTGCATTTAGTGCAAAGTTGGCATCTCCTGGTATCGGGAAACTGTCCACAGACAAAGTATTTAACGATTTCGTCGCCTCGATCTTGGTTGGTGTCGAGCGAGAGCTGCCGATCTTGGCTAGACAGTCTGATACGAAGAGGATGAGGACAATGAGAGTACGGTCTGCGGGGCCTTTGATTTCGAAGTTGCGGAATAGAGAGTTGGCGCGGAATAAGTCGAGAGTTTCATCGATTATATCTGGCTGAGAGGGATCCGCTGTTCATAGATAGCATTGAGAGTATTTTATCATAGATCACACGTTGAACACGCACCAAGAGGCGCAACCCCGCGATATCTTGTCTTTATTGGAAGAATTGACATATTTCCGACCTGACGAACATCCGGCTCTTCGTTAAAAGATGAATGGTATGCCTTAAAAACTTCAATTTGAAGAATACCAATAAAATATTCAATTACTCACTGGCATAATGGCATTCAATGGACAAGATGAGTTCTTTGATGGGACAGCCACCTTGTTACTGAACATTCATGACGTCGGGATTTCAAAATTTCGAGACTTGACCTTGTACGTTTACCATGTCCGATGGGTTTTCAGCGGAACTTGGAAGTAGCGGCTCAATTCTGCCTCCTACGAAGACGACTAAACCGTCTCCGCAGACGTTAACAAGTAGGCTTTAACTGCTTCACATTGCTACAGTATGAATAATGCTAATTCACCGACAGAACTTGTCAAACGACTTCGTGCTCTTACTCTCAAGCTTCTTCCAGTTGAGGTTGACCCGAAAGCAATCAATGAACCTACGAGTCGAATTATAACGCCACAAGTAATTTCTGCATACCGCGCCGCTGCTGGAGATTTTGACGAAGCTGTGAGTTAACAACGACCGATGTACACAGTCCGCTACATCTCCAAAATTTACCATAATGCTCTAGCTACCTTACTGTCTCTTGCGTGCGCGTGCTGAATTTATGTGGGATGCAGACCACAACGCTGCTGATTATGACGAAAATTTTGGTCGAGGTAGGCTTTCATCCGTCTTAAAAGCATTGTCCACGTGTAATATCGGTTACCACCTTCACGCTTCCTCTCCATGAAGCAATCGCATGCGAGGTACTTGCGCGTCGAATCGTTCATTTAAATGTTCCGGAGCGTTTGGCTGCCGTTATGGCTACGAGGTATACACACATACAGATTGACGGGGATGAGAGCGATCCTGCTAGTGCCCTGGAGATGGCTATTGATTCGCATTGGTCAGTGGAATCATTTGTGTTTCAGGGTCTTTCATTGACGCGTCTTTCCGTCAGTACGATTTTCTTATCCTCGAGTGAATCTCAAGATGGTTAGGCTCTATCCCGATTTTCATGAAGAATGCAGCTACTAATACAAGTATCTCTAGTTGTGAATTCCCTCTGGAAGGGTGATTTGATTCAGAAGATGAATGAGAAGTTTGACGTTGATTGTGAATTTACACACTCATACTTCCTCCAACTTTTGCCGGACTGATGAACTTTGCTTTTGTCGCAGATGTTTCCTACTCGGAGTCTCAGACTGGGAGCTTCTGGAGTCACGTAAATCCCTCGCGTCTTTGCGTGCCGCGGTACCAGAACTTTTTCAGAATCGTGGTCTGGTTATTCTTCCTTGTCGTATATTCCCAAGCTGGTTTGTCGGTCTATTCTGCCCACAAAGGCAACCTTTCAAATTGATTCGCCTCCTTCGTGCAGTGCGACAACCTGTGGAACGTCTAGCAGACCCGTCATATACAAATACGATGGATGCTTGGGAAGTCATCCTTTATGTCATTGCTCTGTCGACGCTTGTTGAAGGTGAATAGTCACTACTTGGCTTACATCAAGCTTTTGTCGCTCACGACCTTTGTTTTCCAGACATGAACAGAGTAAATCGTTGCATCTCCTGGTAGTCTGCTCTCCCTGATGCGCCTTTTTCATCTATGTAGTTATTCAAGCTCCTTAGATTCGTCACTTGGCGTGCCTTCTCCTTCTGGAACATTGTAGCTTCTGTTACGAACTCGTTGTTGCTGGCTGCTTTCATCCTCCGCATGGTTGGCTTGCATGATAACACTGATTATTCCGCTACATTGCGTTTGAATAGTTTTCAAGTGCTGAGTTTTGTTGCACCGTTCATTTGGTGAGTGTTTTGTCACTGCCTTACCGTATCCTATGCTGATTTTTCGGTGGGTCGGTTGTAGGATGAGTGTGTATCGTTTATGATACTTTACTATGGTGGCTGACCTCTTTTTGATGGTCAGGGCTCATCACGGTCTTTGACGGATACAAATATGTCGGAATGATGCAAATTTGCGTTGCTCGTATGCTACAAGAATCTAGCATCTTCTTTGCTGTGAGCACTCCTAGAGTCATCCATCATCGCCATTGATTGAGTCAACGTATAGCTACTTTCAATCTTGGCCCTTGGATTCGGACAAGCGATGTATGCATTGGACGCTGCGGATGGGACTACTGAAGCTCCTTCAGGAGTGAGCTTGTCATTTGTCTGTGTAAAAATAGGTGTCCTTCAACGATGCTTTGATTCAGGTGGTAAACGCATTGGTGCAGGCGTTACTTCAGTGAGTCTATCAAACCTCTGATCTGAATGTTCATACTGATTCCTGTTTCAGGTCACCCGATTTTTCGCGGTATGCATCTAGGTGAATTACATCGTCAGTTTCAACAAGCACCTTTGTAGCCGCGCCTGATACGACATTTTTGCTCGCAGTCCCTCGGGGTTGACTATGTATTACCTGTACGTCTCTCGTCTTCGGTCCAAGGTTCTAGGTTAACCTTCGGTCTCTCTGATACTCACAGCTGGAACGTTGTGACGGTCATTGTTCTCCTCAACGTACTCATTTCGCTGTTCGCTTCAGCATATCAAGATGTAAGTACAGTCTATCACAGTACCATCTCGACCGTTGTCCTCGAAAATGAAATCTAAGCACTCTTTTCTCGCTAGGTCGTGGATGATGCAGAGGCGCAGTATCTTGCCTTTTTCGCAGGGAAAACTGTAGGCATGATTCGAGCGCCGGACTCGTATGTTTATCCAGCCCCGTTCAATCTAATTGAAACGTTCCTCGTTTCACCGTTTGAGTGCGTCTTTTCTTGCACTCCTGTCTACTGAGAGAAAGCAAGCTCATGAGATTTCTATGATGTAGATACTGGTTCAGTGAAAAACGATATGCAAAGGTTAGTCTTGCACGACTGCTTGTCACGATGCGCCTCGCGAAAGAGAGCTGACCTTCAACTTTTCAACTAGTTGAACCGCATAATCATGTCCGTGCTCTTCTTCATCCCTCTCACCGTGATCGCTTTCTACGAAACCGTATTCACACGACAAGAAAACGATTGGATGACCAACTGGTTGCACGGGGACAACGAAGGAGATAATGCATACCCAGAAGCCAGGGATCCTGAAGTCGATGGATCGGATGCGGATACAGGGTTGAGGATAAGCAAGGTGCCGTTCACAGAGTTGGTCAAGGTGTTCCCGAATACGGCACAGTCGAGTGAGGCGTTGATGTTGGAGGAGATCAGAGGGTTAAGGAAGCAGTTGGATATGGTGATGAGGAAAATTCAGGTGAATGGGAAGAATGGAGGTGGGAAGGAGGAGGAAGAGGATTGAGTGAAAGAACTTTGTTGCTACCTATTTCTGGGTAAAAATCTGTAGTGCTGGATTTTGATTACGCTTTTGTAGTTTTTACAGGCAATTATCAATCATGAGCAAGCTTTGAAAGTCTCGGTGGAAGATGCGCATTATGACATCCTCGATTTAGGAGTGTAGTACGTAGCATATAAGTATCTCCGAAACGGTTTTCTCAACCCAATATATAATTGAACGGTGACCAGAGAAAAAAAAGTTTTTCTCCCTGGCTGGGAGTCGAACCCAGCTTTCGCGCGGTAATGCACTAATATGACAGGCGCGTGTACTAACCGATATACTACCAGGGATTATTTATATCTCGAATGTAAAGGTCTTGTCATAACACGCAATATCAATTTGATTTCTTCACATAATTCTTTCTTCCACTCTTACCACGATGTCGTTACCACAATCTTTGCGAACTTCTGTAACACCTCCAGAACTTGAACTCATCGCCTCCCAACAACTGATAGAGATCATCCCTCTGATCGCTGTAGAAAAGACTGCCTTCATATCTGTCCGTAGCTCGCGCCTTTACTAGCAAATCAGTCCACCTTACCTTGGATCCTTACTTACGCTTGGGTTAATGGACTTGGAACTACTTAGGGTGCTTTCGGCCCTCTACAACCGCCCAGAAAAGCCCAAATCCCATTGTGGATGGCAATCAATCTAAAATTGAAGAAGAAATGCCATATCGTTGCTCCGGAATGGCTTAGTGTTGGTACGCGTTTTTCTCAAGCTCCCTGACGCGAGACGGCGACTTATATGTTCTTGTAGAATTCTTGCAGTCTCGCCTCGATGAAGAAATTAATGAGCCAGGATTTAGTAAGCTTCCGTTCCGATACGCGGAAGTGTCGAAACTGTTGTTGGATGTGCAAGTCACCTTGTTTTCTTCATATTATCTTTTCCTAATCCACTGGTCACAGTGCGCCAGATGATATTCAAAGTACAGATAAAATACGATATTTGTTGAAGGACCTGAGGGAAGCGCGCCAAGCAAAGAGTCGTGAGGGTGTGGATCAGATAAATCGGGGTGAACTCAGTGTGCGTGTCTTCTTTTGTTTGACTAAGAACTTTGACTGAGCTTTAGGAAACAGTTATCGAACTTGTGCTCGATGGAAATTAACGAGATTCGACCATTCTTTGTACATGCCATGGGAATACTCACTCATCTACATCGCGATGCGTCTGCTGAAGACCAACCATGATACTCTATGTCTGTAACAGAAATAATGAAATTTACGTCTTTTGCTTTCGCTTCCCTCTGTACATCGCATCCCAAAACAAACAGCAGGGTTGAATCTGCTTTTTAAATCCACCTCTACGCGCTTACGGGACGGTGGATGGACGGCATCGGGTATGTGTCTCGATGAAGATCTAATTACAACGAGATTGCCTGATGGTGGACTTCCTACTCATGCTCGTGTCGACGACTGGTGTAGTTCTGGCTAAAGATTTGGATTTTCTCTTGTGCTCCGTCCCGTCTGTGTAGATGGGAAATGACGTCTTTTATGACCCATCTGTGCTGCAAACTTATAATGCACTCATATCCAAACGATTGCTACTCCGAGTCATAATGAGGCTTTCTGGATCCTGCTACTGCCATGCTCTCGAATACAAGCTGGAGCTAGAGTCACCCGAAGCGGCACGAACGTCACTTTGTCATTGCTCGAGCTGTAAAGTAAGTCTAATCGTAATCTCAGCCTTTCTATATTAATTCTTGTCAGAAAGCCTTTGGAGCAAACTATGACTTGACTGCAAAAGTCCCACTGATATCGTTCCAGTACACTTCTGGCAAACCTAAGGAGTTTGTGGGAGACAACGGCTCCGGAACAATCCTTCACCGCGAATTCTGTGACAATTGTGGTAGTTTTATCCTTGAGTATGGGGTGAGTGCAATTTCAACCGTGTTGCTCTTCGTCAACTCGGAGATTTCCTACTTGCCCGTTCTCATGACCGTCAGGACCCACTGAAGGATGACTTCCGTTTCATCTGTCTCGGTAGTTTGGACGAGCCAGATGCGCTGCCTCCCAAGGGAGAGTTCTTCTGTGAGAGTCGTTCAACGTGGATGCCTGAAATCCCAGGTACCATGATCACTTTGCTTTTGAAAGAAAGAATGATTGACTTACGATTTGGGCAGGTGTTTTTCACAAGATGAAGATCAAGGAGTAAGAATAATGTTTTCTGTCTGACTCTCATCCTTTTGCAATCCTATTAAACAAAATTCATGTCGCTGCTTGCGGAATGCTAGAAGTCTTTGTCGCCAGATACATTCCGAGTTTGCGAATTAGGGGTAATCATGCTTACTCAACTCATAAGTGCCTGTAATCATGTGTGAATACTGGATTTTGCGCAAAGTTATGAGAGCGCTAAATAAATTTTCTGTATCTGGAAGCTCACTCATTGCTCGTCTCTCTCGATTTCACAGTAGCAACTATGACATTCAATGACATGAAGTGATACAAAATGACTCTTAACATGCCTCCAGTCAAAGATAGCTCAGTTCATGATGTTGAACTTGATGTCCAAATCGAGTTACTTTTGGTAAAACTTCACGCCTTCCCGAGTATACCTTGAATTCTGACATTGCACCAAGTCTAGGCTCCATTCCTATCATTAGATGCTGCTTGGAAGCTCTAGTATGCATTCAGACTTAACTTAGGAAAGGTATCCGCTTGGTCTTGGAGGTAGAGTTTCGGATGGCCGACAAAGGCTAAACCAGATCCCATTCTTTCATCCAGTATGGTTTGAACAATTTCTATATCTTAGAATATTGGACGATCAGAAGGAGAGCCGTTGCTAAGGCTTCCTATATAGAGCCTTTCCGAACCCGAATCCGGGCGCCAGGAATATCAGACACACTCCTATTACATTGACTTTCATTGCCTTCCCTACGTTGAGAAACCCCTCAAAACAGAGGAGACTGTCCTTGAGACTTCATGGCATCTTCTTCAGGATACTCACATATCCTCAACTGGTCTCCACAGACCTCCTGCGAGACGTCCAGGTCATGTCGTGAGCATGATCAGGACGATGTCCTTCAGCTTTTCGAACCCCCTCCGGAGAAATCAACCATCCCGACTTATCTCTCTTTTAACGACCTTGCAGTTGTTGATCCGTCACTAGGTGTACACCTTTCACGGCTCTCTTTTATGGCAGCATTACCATCTTCCTCCCCATTCTTCGAAATTCCAGCTCCAATATCCACGAGTCCAATATTTCGTTGGTCAACAGGGGTTAATCTTGATCTTCAATACTACCTTTACACCTACCTGCTCTCACCTATATCTCGACTTCCGGATGAGCTCCTCGGCCAGGTTTTTCACGAGTTCGTCATGTTGTTCCCTTGGGTCCATTCGAATAATACGACTTCGGAGGACGGTTCTTCCAAAAGACAACTCGCTCCTTTTAGCTTGATGCAAATATGTTCGCGATGGCGGAACGTGTGCATATCCACATCAAAGCTTTGGGTTTATCATCATGTTCCGCTGTATAGGCACGTATACGCAAATAGTTACTATAATTTGAATGCCTCATAACACGTCGGACAGATCCAAATACTCATCCAGCCATCAGTCACAGCGAGATCCATTCGAGTCTTACATTAACTTAACGCACTACACTAGACTGGCCTTGTTCCGCTCTAAAGGCTCTCCTCTCCACGTTCATATCACCATTTTGCCGGCCAATCCCGTAGCGGCAGCAGCGGGTTTGTTGTTTGATGTTTCAGATAGGTGGCAGAGTGCATACATCGCTATCGGGTCAAGCTCTACCTCTGCGGTACCGTGTCTCTCTGCGAGACAGTTCCTGAAGGGTTTGAGGTATTCAATTTTAGAAGAACTCACTTTGGAGTATGATTCGAGTGGGTCGACCGAGGAGCAGGATGAATATTGTCTCCCATCGTTTGTGCGTTCACCGAAGCTGCATACATTGAGGGTGGTAAAGATGAGGTGGTGGCCTGCGTGGGATTCTCAGCCAGAGTCTTCCAATGCCGTCCTCAGTGATATTGTGGACGGTATCCTCGACCACGGGGATCGCGGTGAAGTTTCGGAAGGAGAAATAGAACGTCGTCCTCTTCCACACCTCCCCTACTCACAAGTTCGGATCTTGACAGGTAGTGCATCTTTACCGACGTTATACACCCTCCTCAAATTGTGCTCTAATCTTGAAACGGTGGAGGTTGATCAAGAACGGTTTCCTGCTCTTGCGCTTCCACCTCCAGCTGCGCTCGATTTGGAGACAGCAGTGGGAAGAGTTTCATTAGGAGCTTCGCCTACATCTCAACTCCACCATAACTACAGCCACATCTACGACTGGAATAGTACTTTTACTAGTTCCACGACTGCTTCCTTTGGTAACGGATTCCTCAAGAATATCGCAATAGACGCTCCACACCTCCGCACCCTCAGTCTCTCTCTAGCCACTGATCAACCTCCGCTCACGAACTGGATTCGACGTACACCGTCATTGAGGACACTCTCGCTAACAGGAGGAAAGCTTACATCGAAGGTCGTTCACGATCAGGTGGTGAATGACATGATTGGAATTTTGCACCGTCAGCGATTTTTCTCATGCGGTGGATTAGAAATTTCGAGTCGATCAGAAAGCTTCAGTGGATTGGAAAACTTCACTCTCTCGACGGTAGAAATAACATCGAGGCAGCTCATTGAGCTGTTCACTCATATGCCGGAGTTGAGGCAGCTAAAACTGGGCAGACATGCGTGGGGGCCGAGATCGTATTTGGGGGAACTACGAGGTGAAGGTGGCGAGGTGCTTAGGCGATTAAGGGTACCGAGGGCTCTAACGACATCTCAGTCTAAACCTCAGTCCACTTTCACTCAACGTGACATTGCTAGTAGTGAATGTGGGATAAAAAAAGGAAAAGGCCATGATCAGTGCCATCGGGTCTTGCTCCCACGACTTACGAGCTTTTCTCTGTATTTCCCGCGACCTCCTGTCCAGACAGAGTTTGAAGAGTTGCTTGATGTCCTCGAGTCCAGGGCGGTTCCGGGGACATCAGGCATGGCAGTGCCAGTGTCGGTGCAATGTACAGCGGAATTGAGCATGGTCGAGTTCGATGTTGATATTCCTGGTGGGTTGGCTATGATGTTGGGGCAATCGGGTTGGGCGTCGTATAGACAAAGGGTACTGAAGGTGGTCGGCATGAGTGAAGGAGAGGCCATAGAGTCATCTGGCTGAAGTTTTTCGGGCACGCGTCCTGATCTCGATTTGGTAGATATTGTGCTCGTGATCGCTCATTCCTCGAAGACGCAGGGAAAAAAACCATTTTTTGCGCTGGGGGCATGGT